GTCCCTATTCACTGTGGGGAAGAAGCAGATAAAGACCTGAGGGACAATGACACCTTCTCTGACTCTCAAGGGAAGGAAATTAGGCTTCTATTAACTCTGCCCATGTCTGAATTAACACTGCTTTGAGACGTTTGTATTTGATCATGACCTAGCGGTGCATGTCGGTCGAGGTCCACAACAGTGTCCATAATCAGATTACTGAGGTTCCAAGCTCATGCCCTCATTTATCAAAGGACTCTAAACAAATTACTTAATCTCTATTTTAAAAAAAATGCAATAACATCAGTATCTTCTCAGCAGTAGAAAATTGGAAAACAAAATTGGGTGGTGCTTCTGAAAATCTGATGGGAGCAGAATCATGGCATAGATTGATAACCTAGAGTATTTCATTTTTTAAGATTTATTTTTATTGGAAAGGCAGATTTACAGAGAGAAAGAGATTAAAAGAGAAAGATCTGCCATCATTGATTCACTTCCCAAATGACCTCAACAGCTGAAGTTGAGCCAATCCGAAACCAGGAGCCAGGAGCTTCTTCCTGGTCTCTCATGTGTGTACAGAGGCCCAAGGACTCCATAATCAGGGAGCTGGATGGGAAATGAAACAGCCAGGACAAATTGGTGCCAAATGGGATCGCAGTGCTTGCAAGTGGAGGATTAGCCAACTGAGCCATTGTGCTGGGCCTGATAACCTACACTATTTCTTAAAAGTAAAAGGCCCTGGGATCAGTGCTGTGGCCCAGTGAGTTAGACCACCTGCGACACCTTGTTATACCATAAGAGCATCTGGTTTGAATTCCAGTCACTCTAGTTCCCATCGAGTTCCCTATTAAAGCACCTGGGAAAACAGAGGAGCTGGCCCAAAAGCTTGGGCCCCTGCGATCCACATGGCAAACCTGGGAGAAGCTCCTGGCTCCTGGCTTCTCGCCACAGCAGCTGCAGCCTGTATGGCTGTTCAGGGAGCAGAAAGAGACAGGTAGAAGAAAATATCTGTTTCTCCGCCTTTCAAATAAATAAACATGTCTTTACCAAAAAAAAAAAAAAAAAAGAAAAAGAAAAAGTAAGAGGATTGCATGACTCACTTAATAGCATAAAGTATTCTAATGCTGTTTTACAGAATGCAAACCCCTGAATCTGTATTGAGAAGTTCTGCAGTAGATTTGTACATGTCCCCCCCTCCCCCACACACCAGAGGTCAGTGTAGACATGAATGTCAACAGAAAAACTGGAAAGCTGGAAAGTCATTTAAAACTGTCTTTGGGGCAAATGTGTGGAACAAGTCTTGGATGCTCAACTTCCCTTGAAGAACTGAGGATGTCCTTATGGACACAAAATGACTTCTTTTTTTTTTTTGAGATTTCTCAAAAGTGAATGAATATCTCACTTTAGCTTTAAAATCAATGTGTCTCAAATTGCATCCACTTTTTCCCTAAAACTGCATTTACTTCAGTGTCCCTAAGCTCAGCAAGTATCACCTCATCACTCAAATGGATTTTTTTCTTTTTGTAAAATTGCACTGTTCTCTCTTAAATCTCTCCTCTGTCTGTTCTTCCTGTTTCTACTGCCCCATTCCATCAGCTCTCGCCTCAGTTAGTTAAGTGATTTCTTAAAAGATCATGTTATTTTTTCCTGTCTCCTTCATCATGTTTTTCATTCTGCAGCCAGGTTGCTTTTCCTAATATGTACCTCTAATAATGTCATTTTTCAGCCTGAATTTCTTCTTGTTCCTATATCAGCGTCTTGGCACTTGCTATTTCCTCTGCTTTCATCTTCATCCAGCTTTCCCACGTTTTTGTTACTGGGAATTCAACTGAAGTCAGAACTCCAATATTATTTTCCTCATTAGTGGAAGCAATGTAAGTAAAAGCTATCCTTCAGGGAAAATTGACAGGCTATCAGAATCTCTGAAAGTTCAGATCTCAGGTTTTGCCAGAAAAGCTCTTATCCAACAATTCTAATAGCGAAGTCACTTTCCCAGAGTTTGTTGAATCGGATGTATCTGCTATATAATAGCCAAAAATACCTGCTGTATTTTAGCTACAGGCATATTCAAAATAATCCTGAATGGTGGGCTCCAAAATTGTTGATCACTTTGTTTTTGCTTCATCTGTAGGCTTATTGTCTTCTGATTTCACACAGAACAAAATAATTCCATTTTCTTTTTTTTAAAAAAACACAGCAAGAAAGAGCATGATAGTATAGACAGAGACAGAGGTGGAGCTTTCTTCTGCTGGTTCATTCCCAAAAGCCCACAAGAGCTGAAGCTGTGCCAAGTTAATCCAAAAGCAAAGCCAGCTACTCAGTTTGGGTCTTCCACATGGGCACAGCAATCCGACTGCTTGAGCCATCACCATCATCTGCTTTTTAAGACACACATTAGCAGTAAGTGGGGACAGAATTTGAACTGGAACTTGAACCCACACACTCCGATATGGGATGCTGGCATCCCAAGAACTTTCTTCATATTTTTATCTGCAATATTACAAGACTAATGATTTATTCAAACTACTAGTTAAATATATAACTGCTTGTTAGATATACTATGAGTAGTCTTAGGTCATTATTTGTATAAAAAGAACAAGTAGGTTTATGACATGAATTTTCCAGGTTTTAGTCTTTGCTGTACTCTTTGCTCTCTTAAAGGGAAAATTCTGCTCTTTGACAGTTGACTGTATAGAAAGAAGGTGATCATGAACAAATTTAATGAGTCCTGTATGAACACCTGGCACTTACATAAAAATACATTGGACTTACATATGAACAACAACTAACTATTAAGTTGCTCACAAACGTTGTGGTTCCAGGAGCAAGATTTGGGAGATGTGCTTCAATAGAAAGCTGACTACACTGCTTAGTGTCATAAAGGAGTACACATCAAATCTTTTAAAACCTGAGTTCTTATCCCAAGAATACAATTACCATCATGTTGATGATGATTTGTCTAATCTGAAGTTTTTCAAGTGTTTTTTTTTAAGATTTATTTTTTTCTTGGAAAAGTGGATTTACAAAGAGAAGGAGAGACAGAGAGCAAGATCTTCTCCCACTGCTTCACTCCCCAAGCGTTCTCAATGGCTGGAGTTGAGCCGATCTGAAGCCAGGAGCCAGGAGCTTCTTCTGGGTCTCCCACGCAGGTACAGGGTCCCAAGGCTTTGGGATGTCCTCTGCTGCCTTCCCAGGCCACAAGCAGGGAGCTGGATGGGAAGTGGAGCAGCTGGGACATGAACCAGTGCCCATATGAGATCCTGATGGATACAAGGTAAGGATTTAGCCACTAGGCCACAACACTGGGCCTTAAGTTGAAATATTGTCACTCTACTTAATTGATTAAGCAATTCACTGATTAAAATGGAAATTGTCTTATGTCTATTTTAAAATTTTACACAGACTAATTTTGTTCCCCATCTAATTACAGCTAAAGTCAATACTATTTCAAAGAACTGCTTGGTTTTGTGGAAAGGCATTTGATTGGATCACATCTGATTGAGATTGAGTTCATCTTTCATTCAGGCAGTTGAAAAGGGTGGGTTTTTCTTGGCCATAGGAAGCTGCTCATGCTGCTAATGGGGCAATTGTAGATGACTGCATACGACAGCCCGGGTGCTTACTCCAGGAAACCCTGCCCCATTTCAATAGTAACAGAAATAGTAAGTTCGTGAGTAGTGTTTGAAAGTAGGACTGGGAGTCTGTTTTCACCTTGCTTAAAATCTCTGACTTCCCATTGTACTCAGAATATTAGCTCCTTAGAATGATCTTTATGTTTCTATCGTTTAGTCACACTTTTTGCAACTCTCTCTACGTAGATCCCACCCCAACTTCTGCCTATTCCCAGTTCTCAGACGGACCATGCCGTTTTCCTCAATCTTCACATGTGCTATTCCCTCTGCCTACATCATACCCCTCCCACCCTCTTATTGAATAACTTCAATGGTTTCTTCTTTCTCAGTGAAAATGTAATTTATTTTAGAAAAACTTTTCCTCTACTCCTACTATAAAATTGATTTTCTCTGATATTCACTCTCTGAAGTAACTGTTTTAATTTTTTGATATTTACTTCTGTCTATAATAAAATCTAACTTAATCTGAAGCTCTATGTTTGAACATTTGCATGGTTGAGGTTTTCCTACCGCTCTGAGCTACCAGCTCCGCAAGGATGAGGGCTGCCTCTATCGCACACAAGTGTAATACTTGGAGTACCAAGTTAGACCTACTGGAATTGAAGAGACAGTGAATCACACGAACATAGACACAATTCGTCTTGGGGTCATTTCTCTGTTAGGCTACAAACATGAAGGTTGGGTATGGGACGCCCAGCGCTTCCCATAGGTCAAATTTCAAGCCTGATCAGATCATGCATGCATGAGTGAAAAGTGAATTTTGGATTTTAGCAATGCTTTTGTTCTTTTGCCTGACAAAAAGACTTGTAATCTTAATTTAATAATGTTATGATTATTTTCCACTCATTTAGTTGCTAAACATTGCGTCTGCACTTCATATACATGTGGACCTGTACTTGATATCACCTAAAAGCAGACAGGGGCAAGAAGTGAAAACCAAAAAGCTTTACAGACTCATCACACCAACAATTCTCTGCCCCTAAAATGATGCAGAAATTGCTACACACATAAATCTGAAAAAATAACGATCTAAACCACTCAGAGTAGCTTTATAATTAAACTGATACATTGATTATTCTTTTCATTAACAGTTTTTGATCACTTAAGAGCAATGATTAGAAACTAAATATTTTTTGTTTTCAGGAGTCAAATAAATGCGCATTATTTCTTAGACTCAAAACCTATTTTCCTACAAGCAGAAGGACAGAGTAGACTGCTGCCTGAACTAAGAGAGAAAACACCCTAATTATTAGGTGGCTCTGTTGCGCAATGGATAGCGCATTGGACTTCTAGTGACGACAAGAACACCCTAATTATTATTCATGAGAAACTTCCTAATCTGTCTTTTCTTTGGGCTTCAGTCTTTGACCTGGGAACTTTCCGCACGTGTCACTGGGACAATTTGGGAAACAGGAGAATAATGACTTTGTCCCGGATCTGCTTGGTCTTTACTCCATAGACAATGGGGTTGAGTGCAGGTGGGATGATTACATAGAGGTTGGCAAACATAATGTGAAAAGTCCGAGGGACATTATGCCCAAAACGATGGGCAAGGATGGAGAAAAATGCTGGTATATAGAACATGAGAATGACACAGACATGGGAGCCACAGGTGCCGAGGGCCTTCTGGCGGGCATCTCGGGAGGGCAGACGAAAGACAGCACAGAGAATGAGGGTGTAGGAGACGGCGATTAAGACCACATCTGTGATCACCGTCATGATGGGAACACAGAAACCATACCAGATATTGATGGAGATGTCGGCACAGGCAAGCCTGGCAACGCCTATGTGCTCACAGTACGTATGAGGGATGATATGTGTCTTGCAGAAGGGTAGCCGATTCACAAGGAAAACACATGGGACAAAAACACAGAAACTTCGGAGAGAGATTCCCACAGCAATTTTGGCAATGGTCTGGTGAGTCAGAATAGTGGTGTATCTCAAGGGTGAGCAGATGGCCACGTAACGGTCAAATGCCATGGCAAGCAATATAGCTGAGTCCAGGACAAAACTGTAGTGCAGAAAGAATAACTGAGTGAGACAACCAGCGAAGCTTATTTTCTGGGGACCAAACCAGAAGATGGTCAGGGTTTTGGGGATACATGTGGTAGATAACATCAGGTCAGTCACAGCCAGCATAGAGAGGAAAAAGAACATGGGTGTATGAAGACTGTGCTCCACTGCAATGAGATACAGAAGGATGCTATTGCCCACGATGGCAACCATATAGATGAAACAGAAGGGAATGCTTATCCAGACATGGTGCTGCTCAAGTCCAGGGATGCCTGAGAGGGTGAAGGGTGCTGTGTTGTAGCCACTGAGGTTGTATGCAGCCATGGAGATCTGATGAACAGACTGAGTCCTAAAAGCAAACTGTGCATATTGAACATGAGCAAACGGTATGACAGTTCTCCACCCACTGCAATCTGCCCTTTCTTACAGTCTAAAAAAGAAGTCTCCATTGCTTATCACAATCTGTGCTCATGGCTTCAGTTAAGACTCCCCACACTCATTGTTCCCAGTCCCAGCTATTTTATTACTCTGGAGTCCTCTTCAAACTGCATAAAATGCCATTCTCATTTCAATGACTGTATTTCCTGAGTCCATGTGATTTTTTTTTTTTTGGCTGTTGTGTGTGTACAGATAAAAGTAGTCTAATTATGAACAAGAAAAGCAAACTGAGAAAAGTGAGTCGAAACAATAAAATGCAATAATTTACAATTACAGATTACTAAAACACACCCGAGTCCGGGGAAGCTTTACTTAGGCCAGTCTTCTAAGATGTGCATTTTTCCCTGACCTGCAGCTGAGATCTAAAGTAACCTTCCCTAAGAACTTACCTTTAGAGTCTGGCACAGGGCAAGTCGTTGGATCCCACAGCCGACAGTCTTCCATGCTGCTGTCCCATGCCCAGGACTCCCTCAAACCCAGTTAAGCTTCAGAAGAAGCATGCAGGTGTAAAGAATAATGCAAAGTCACTTGAACTGAAGTGTATCTGGAGGAATCCTGTCCCGATTCCAGTCTGACCTGAGCTCCTTGATGCTGTGTATGTATAGCAGAGCCTCAGGACACAGAGCAGAACTTCCCGAGGCTGGTGTCTGATACCTGACACAGTGAGATGGCATCAGAGAGAAAGTGTGGCTAGGCTCCGGCTTATGCTTAGGAATACATGAGGAAATCTCATTCAAGAGTGAGAAATTAGAAAAAAAAAAAAAAGGTTCAAGTGTGCCTTTTATAAATGCAAAGGTGACCTCTAGTGGAACAGAAATAGAATTTATACATTTTAAATCCTGGCTCAAGATAAAAGCCAATAATTAGTAAGTTAATTTTTAATGAATAAATAGTTCACAAAATTGAACTAGAGTTCATTTTTTAGAAACTTTATTTTGCTACACAAAAATCTTATGATATTTTGCATTTGTAATTCTTAATAATTCTAAGAGATAGGAAAATCATCCACACTTTAAAGATGCAAAAATTGAAACAGAGAAAAATGAATAAAGTTTGCTAGCTTAATTTACTAAGCTGTCAAAAACCACACCACGAGATAATCATAGAGCTAGAATTCAAGCACAATACATGTTTATGTAGACTTCTGTACATAGCCGAAATTGTTTATATAGTCAATAGACTACACGGCAAGTAGCCCATACATGCTATCTCTGTCACAAGGCACAACATTAAACCATGTGAAGAAACCACAGAGGGCCTGATGTGATGGCCTCATGGCTAAATCCTCGTCTGGCATGTGCCAGGATTCCATATGGGCACCCATTCATATCCTGGCTGCTCCACTTCCCATCCAGCTCCCTTATCTGGACAATAAGATGCTAGATTCTAAGCTAGGCATATGCTTGCAATGAAGGAATCTCAACTGAACTTGAACTGTGGTTATGCAGTTTGCCCTCAACTTGTGTAAGTTTTTTTTTTGTCATAAGTGATTTATCTGGTATTTTGCTTGCAGTTAACCACCTCAACAAGATTATTTCGCTTTAATTAATTTGTTTTAGCTATGGAGAAAAAAAAAGAAATAAAAGAAATACTCTCCTACACAGATGGCAGTTACAGCAAGATAATCGGAAGTCAGAAGTCCTACAGAACCCAGTCGGATTATGTTCTTCTACGTCCTGTATTCAGTTGGTTCTCTGCAGGCTCAGTCCTGCTGCTCCCATTGTGCTGTGTTAATCCACACTTCTTCCTACCTCTGCGATTGTTTGAAGTCTGGCCTTAAGGACTGCAGAGGGTTTTTCAACAGGAAGTTAGACTGAGCTCACCTGTCTTCTCTTTCCCTTTCCTTGCTCTCCTCTGTCACTGTGACCCCTTCAGTTAACCTTCTCTAGAATCGGAACTCTGCCCTCACCTCCCAACCCTGCCTGTCTTGCCCAAGCACCGACACTCACCAAACCCCAGGCCTGGGTTGGGGACTGAGGATGAGGAGGAACAGCACTGCCAAGTGGCCAGACTTCTTATTCCTCATTCTGAACCTTCAGAGAGGGCAAATGGTGCTAGGAGGTCCCAGAGGGATCACACACAACCTCCATCAGTGAGCTAGGGATGCCCCATTTGCCAAGTTCTGGAATCCCAAAGGCTTTTCCAAGATAGACAGTATCCTGAGAGAAGGGTCCCCGAGGCTTTCAACACAGCAGGTGCTCCCTGCGGCTGGAACAATCCACAGGGAAATCTCTATGTTCGTTGTGTGAATTTGAGGGAATTCGTAGTCCCTGGGTGCTATTTTATTAACCTATACATACGATCTATTTATGTCAACATGTATAATGGTCATGTCAGTTATACAATGGTAGGGGGAGGAATGATGCAGGTTCTTTCTGGTTCAAGCCTAAAGCAGGTTGGAGAACTTCATGGTTCTCACAAGTCAGCAATATGGATCCGACAGTTGATCTTTCATAGGAAATTCTTCCAATATGCTTCAGATGGTAGAAATGTTAAGTGTCACCACCAGTCACCACTGTTCCATCCCTTGCTTCTGTCATTGTGCCCTGAATGATTTAATCAACTCCAGAGGCAGGTGCTGGGTTCGCATCCCATAGCAGAGTGTGAGTTCCGGTCCTGCCTTACTCTCAATGTGTACCCTGTAGGTCAGCAAGTGGTCAGATTCCTGCAACTCATTCAGGAGACCGGGATTGGATTCTGGACTTGTGGTTTCAGTCTGGTAGCTCTGGCTGTGGAGGACACTGGGGGAATGAGCTTGCAGATGGAAGATTTTCTCTCCGTCTCTATCAGTCTCTCAAATAAAAAAAAAAAAAAATTAAGAGTTTCATTTTACTATTGTTTATAGTCCTTGCCTATTTTCTTGAGGAACAACTTTTTTTCTACTTACTACTTGTTGAATTCTTTATTTATGGGATGGTTAAGTTTGTTATTGCAAAAATTAAAATTAAAGTAAGAAAAGAAGGTGGGAGTAAGAGAGGAAGGGAGGGTAGAGTGGGAAGCATCATTATGCCCTAAAACTGTGTATGTGAAATGCACAAAAATTTTTCTCATTATATGAGTATGATGGGAGTTACACCTGTTGAGTTCCATGAGATGCAACTGGAGGTCTCCAATAGAACCAGGGGTGCGCAGCGCCCCAGGAGGCACAGCTCACTTAGAACCTTCCGAAGAATCATCAGGGAATGGCAAGAGCTTTGTGAAGTCTAAAGGAAGCAGGATCAGCCATCACCCCAGGACCCCAGCTTCCTTACACTGGAACAAAATCCTGGCCTACTCCCAAATTCCTGCTACAGAGTCAATTGATTGGCAGACTTAAATAAGGGTGCTTACCACATGTCGGGTTTGCTGCTGGCCTGGGAGGCAGACGGGGCACTGGAGTTTCAGGTGCAAAGTTGAACTTGAGTGTCGGGTCCTTTATTCTAGAAATAGTTCTAGTTTCTACCAAAAAATAAAAATTAAAAAGCCACACACACAAACCCTGGACACTATGATTCCTTTGGAAACATTTTCAAGTGCTATCAGTGCTCAGGGTGCTACGGATAATCCATTATCATTAAGTTTAGCATACTCCAGTAGTTATATTGGTGCATCTCTTCTAAATAGATCCTTAAAAATATGTTAAGTTCTTAACTAACCTGAAATTTTTTTTTTTTTAAGATTTCTTTGTTGTTGTTGTTGTTGTTGGAAAGGCAGATGTACAAAGAGAAGGTACTACAAAGAGAAATATCTTCCATCCACTAGTTGACTCCTCTAGCTGAGCCGATCCAAAGCCAGGAGTGTCTTCTGGGTCTCCCACATAGGTGCAGCAGGGTCCCGGGCTTTGGGCCATCCTCTATTGCTTTCCTAGGCCACCAACAGGGAGCTAAATCTCCATTCAAGGGCCAACATCCCATATGGGCACCAGTTTGTGTCCTGGCTGCTCCACTTCTCATCCAGCTTCCCAATTTCTGGCCTGGGAAAACAGTGGAAGATGGTTCAACTCCTTGGGACCCTGCTCCCAGTGTGGGAAACTCAAAAGAGGCAACTGACTCCTGACTTTGAATTGGCTCAGCTCCAGCCATCAAAGCCATTTGAGCAGTGAAGCAGCAGCTGGAAACTCTGTCTCTCCTCTCTGTAAATATGCCTTTCCAATGAAAATAAATGAATTTTAAATAAAGTTTTGACGTAATACTAGGTTTGAATCCCTTCCACTTACTGTGAGCCCAAAAGCACAAGCTCAGAATACACACTGACTTATACCTGTCAATACATCTGTGCCCCATAACCTTCACACCGCCTGAGCTGCACACTTCACATCACCCCTACCACGCCTTAGAATCCCATGCACTTGTTTCCCTTTTGATGCCAATAATACTCCATTCTATTGGATATACTGTTCTTTCAAAAAAAAAAAAAGGTTATTCAATATTTAATGAGCTTTAGGGTTAATTTTGTTTTAAAAAAATGCTTATGAGTAAAACTATTATGAACATTGTATTCACAAAAAAGAAAAAGTTCTGCGCACTGAGAAATACTGTCTGTTTAACCGAACCCTCCTGCTGTAAGTAATGAAGTCCTCTACTGACAGGGAGGCGCTTGCAAGGTACAGCCTGTAAATTGCTTCCAGGTCCCCCGATTCTCAGAAGTTGGCCTGAGAAGGAGTCTTGAACCCAGCCTATCTCTGATTTTCCCAACACTTCTAACAGCCTGCGTGTCAATCAGGGAACTGACGAGTAGGCTGGGCCAGGGATGGAGAGTCTGGGGCGGACCTGCATGCAGGTTTCAACCTGCCACATCATTCCTAGGCAAGGAGGAGGCAGCTGGCCCTAAACCTCTGCCGTGAGAGGCTGTCCAAGTACACTTCACGTGACTGCTGAGTCCTGGGCACGTGAGGGACCTTTCTTGCT